CTGCTTATAGCATATTGTATTTCCATTTTCATCAATTTTTGATAAGAATATTTATTTACAAGAATTTTTTTTGTGGATTTAAAAAAGTAACTAAATCTTTTATCGTTAAAATTAGTTAAAATTTGCATCTCAAAATAAAAATGTGATTCTTTCAGAATTTTGGGATTGATTTTGATAGTTTCATTTTATTTTTGTGAAAAAGTGTAAGAAACTCTTCATCATATTATTTCTTTCTTGTCAAATAACTAACCATCTATCAGAAGAATTTTTTCTTCTACTTTTATTGCATTATCAACAAAAATCAAATTTTTTGATATATCTTTCACCCAATAACAATTTTAATACAATTTATTTGATTTAATTTATTTGTATGTAATACTTATTTGATTGTTTTGTATTCGAAAAATTATCCAATTATTAAATTCAGTTAGGCTATTTGAACATAATAAATGTGGTACAGAAAAAGACTAAATTCTAAAGTAGCAAGCAAAAAAGTTTTTCATATGTTTTTAGCAATAAAAAAGAGATCTAACCATCATATTATTTTACATAATTTGATATAATTAAATTTTGTTGAAAATAAAGTCATTACAATTGAAATTATATCTCATAATTATTGAATAATGAATGAAATCTGTTCATGGTACCATTTTTTTAAAGTTCACTTTATTAATCTGATATATGAATGTAGTCGCGAAAAGAATACCGAATTTATTCGATACAAATAATAAAGTAATAATATGTAAGATTTCAATACAAAAAAATTGTTACAAAAATACGCATAGATGAGTGAAATCATCTAATTAAACAAAAATATTTGCATACTTGCATAAATTAACAATTTACAATTTAATTAATGAGTTTTTTGTAAGGGATACTTTCTTAGAAGTTTTTTTCTTTACTCACAAAAGTCAGAAATTTGAATTATCGTGAATATTTGCCATAATACAATAAATAATCATTTAAATCAAAATTTAAAACAATAGCACAAGTTTTGTTTGACCGCAAAAATTTTAATTAATAATTTAAATTTAAACCTTATTCAAATAAAAAATTAGAAAAAAATAAAAATAAGATATGAAAAATATAAAAGCAGTCGTGAAAGTTACAAAGATGAAATAATATTTTAAAAATAAAAAACTAACTCATAAAGGATTGATAAGCAAAATGTTTAACACAGTTAAATATATAATAATGAAGTAATAAGTTTCTAATTTCTAAATTTCAACAATTTTACTTTTATCTGATCAACTTTTGCTGTGAAAAAAATTTGCTTAACAAAAAATTTGGTTTTGGGAAAAAGTACGATAAAAATTTAGACTTGAACAACTATTCTTTCAAGAATTTAAGTTAGAAAAAAAAAAGTTGAAGATGTATTTTTTTCATGTCCAAAGTTTTTAAGAGAAGCTTACATTGCAATTTTATAATTATTTAAGAAGTGTAAAATGCAAGAAAGAAACTCAACTTTTATTTTGACTATTTGTTTATTTAAATGTTCGATTTTAATAAAATTGAACTGATTATAATTCGATCATTTTTGAATTTGTAACAGAATAATTTGTAAAAAATTATCTATTTTGTATCATTTTAGCGTTATCGATAACAACTAAACATTATCATCTTATAGTGATTTTCGTTTTGAGTATTATTGAACAAATTAATTAGTACTAACATTCATACTGTGATATCTTCGTAATAATAAATTTATCAAATATTCTTCAAACTTTCTATTGTATTAATTAATTCATTCATTCTTTTGTGCTTAAATATGAAAATTATTTGAAGCAGTAAATTGAATAGACAAATATACAAAAATTAACTGCTGATAGTAGTGATTTTTGTACTTTTTAATATCATAACGTTTAAATAACGTATAAAAATGTGGTATAAATTTGTTTTTAACTCGTGCAAATTTTCAACATTGCAGTGAATTGAAAAAAAATTACAAAAGAATGAAAAAGTTGAAAACAATAAAATTTCTACTAATTTGTTGTATACAAAAATTATCTACCGAACAAATTAATAAATATAATTTTAATCATTGCTTTTTTTTTCAGCTATATTGAATATTTTATGCTAACTGAGAATTGCTATTGCACATACCAATTTTCAAATTGCCCAAATTTCAAGTCAAATTAAGCTACAAACTTAGCACTGTAAAACTTTATGATTTGTCATATATGAAAGATAACAACTAAAAAGGTTTTCACACAAAAAAAAAAATGATTATTTTAATTTTCAGTATATAGCAAGTCTTTTCGAATCTCATTTTTTCGATAATACGAAAAGATTAATCACTCCTAAAAATTATTTATTCTTTGACTTCAGAGTTTAGTAGTTAGATATAAACGAAATAAAATCCATGCACATGCTATTTTGTTTTATATAAAATTTTCAGATTAAATTTAAAAAAAAAAAAAAACGAAGGTTTCAGACAAAACTTTAATCGAAATACGACTAGATTAATTGAATTACAGCATGCATATCTTGGCATGTAAAATATTGAATAAAATAAATTACTGAGCTTTGAAATCAAAATTAAATAATTTTTTTTAGTAATTAGTCACTTTATTCATTCTTGATTGTTTTAAAAACCTTAGTCTACCATAAATTTTATCAGACAAAAAATAATTTATAGTTATATTTAATATATTTTCGTACTTTAACAATGCTTAAATAGAAAACTTAGCAATCAGAATTATTTGTAGCAAAAATTTGACCAAATAAGTTCATAACTGTAAGACTAAGTAATTATTAGAAATGTGAACATTTATTAAATTGGTCTGTTAAAAGCATTAATTTACTTCAACAATTGATGAAACGATTCAGAGTTTGATATTTCGTATGTAATCTGATTGCTAACTACAACCCGTATGTACAGTTAAAGTAATTGTAATTTATCGTTTAAATAAATGATGCTTGAATTAAATCTAGTCATACAAAATAAGCACAATACAAACTTAAATACAAAATTAGTTTCATGAGTTTATGATCAAATTTAATCAATTTTGATCATAAAAAAATACATGCAATTGCAAAAAAAAAAGATCAGTTTTATGTTAATTAATTCTACAAATATAATTAAGTTTAGTTTATGTTAGAAAATTAAAAAAAGGAAAAAGTTCATTGAAAATTTAAATGTTGTAAAACTAAAACTTAATTTTTGCATTAAAATTTAATCCATCTGAAAAGAAAAATATGAAAAAGAAATTTTTGCAGAAAAAATTTTAGCATTAATGCATCAATCTTTTGAGTGTTAGTTTGCTTTAGAAATGTTAACAAAATGAATGACTGCAAAATAGAACAAAGTGTAAGTCAAAGAACAGTAAACTTTAACTTTTATCTAATGTTAACTTTCAAAAAATAAAAAGTTTACCAAATTTGAATATGTATCCATTTATGAGTATATCAAAACTTTGAAGCACATTGAAAGTCAAACTTATTTGCTCCTTTTTTTTTTTTTAATACTAAAAATATAGCAAGTAGATTTGATCAATCAAAGATAAAAATGAAAATTTTGAATTTAAATAATGGCTTCATTAAAATTAGCAATTTACATTATAGAATCCCAATAAAATGCAAAAAACTAAGATTCATTACAAATTGTGATTTTTATCGGTCTTTCAATGAAAAGCCAATAAATTTAAATGAGTAGAAAAACTTTCTAAAATGAAAGAAAGCAAAAGAACTTTGAAATAAATTACAATTTTGTGACAATAGCATTTATAATATTTACAAACTTTTTTTCACTTAAAAAAATTGTATTTAAAATTTTTTGCTACTTAAGTTGTATTATTTATTTTAAGTGCTAAAATATAAGCATAAGCGTTATATAAAAAAAAAGAAACTAAATCATTGATAAATTTTGAAAAAAATCCAATAAAACAATAATATATAATGTTATCTAGTGAATATTTTAATACAATAAATAATGCTTGGTAATTTTGATAAACATTTATGCAAAATTTTTTATTATTTCAAACATAAATTTAAATGTATAAAATAATAATAATAATAATAATAACAATATTGACTATAAATTACGCATTTTTGTGTTTGAAAAAAAAATTTTTTTTAAAAATTGGAAAAATTTGTATTATAATAATAAATAAAAATAAAAAATTAATATAAAAATAAAAAACAAATTGAACAATTGAAAAATAAAATTATTTGCTGCTAGAAATTGAAGGATTGACAACTGACTCAAAACTTTTAGCAAAGACTGAAGCAAAAACGAAAACGAAGACAATTATGACATCTTATCAGTAATTGAACTAAACTACAACAAAAATAAAAAACAAATATAATCTCGAAAGTGGCAGTAAATAAAACAGCCAGCCAGTAAAGCAATTTGTTTTATACAGCCTGTTGCAAACTGCAAACTTTGATGATCAAAATAACACAATTTTATTATAATCTTTAACATATTTTTATCATTACTGCTATTAACTGAAGTATTTTATATTTTTAGTTAAATAACAAACAATATTTACTCATTAATTATCAATTCAACACTGATAAATTGTAAAAAAAAATATCATTCATTATATTAATAAATGTGTTTTGATATTTACTGCACAAAAAGTAATCAAATAAACTGCAAAAAGCAAAAAATTTGATATGAAATTTTTTTTGCTTAAAACTATGCATTTGTTTGAGTAATTTAAATTATTACAGTATGCAGCAATAAATTATCAAATTAGTATGTGATAAACAACATCTATAATGATTTTAAATAAATCAAACCAATAAACTTACATTTGCACCATTTTAAATATTATCAATTTTATGTATATATTCTGTACTTATACATAGTTTTGCGATTAATTGTTTTACAAATTATTTTCAATCGTATTATTTAATATTCAAATTAGATTTCATCAAATGCTATTATGCTTAGTGCATACTTTACAGTTAAAATCACTTTCTATCTTTATCATTTAATTTAAATCCAAAAATGAACATAATAATAATAATAATAATAATAATATATTAGTAGTATTAAATAGCAATTCTTTAATAATTGTTTCTTAAGTACTTCTTTATTACATGCTTTTGTACATAATTATTGTATCTTAATTATATCTACTGTTAATAGTCATATTAAAATTACAACTTTATGTAAAATTTGAAAAAAACCTAGCAAAAATTATAAGAGGACTTTTTATTACTTTGATAAAACTTATCATGATTTATTAAAGAATTGATCAAAAGAATGTGGTAAAATATGATAAAATAAATATTAATGAAGTCACCTGAGATGTGTAGAATGGTGCTTGCGAACAATTGTTGTCAATACTAAGGCCACTGAGATATGAACTAAGTTGATCGCTAATATGCACCAAACTTAAATCAGTTTGAGTTACAATTTCAACTTTGCCATTTGGTTGTTGCTCCAATGGCGATGAACCACTGAAATACACCAAAATAAATGCATAAATTATTAAGTTTTCAAAAATTAATCTTTTTTATCATAAAAACATTTATAAATTCAAATAATACTTAATATAAAATTGAAATTTATTTTTGATATGAAATGATACAACAAAAACATTCACAAAAGACTGCCAAAATTTTTTTTAAAAATTCAGTTGCAAAAATGATTTCGAGAATAAATTAGCTTATGAAAAAGCTCTAAACATTTTTCACACCAAATGATTATATCTTGCTCTGCAAGAAGAACAAATAAATTTTGAACATCTGATGTACAGTTTATAACAATAATTGAAAATATATCAGAATTAATTACATCTGAAAATATAGTAAAATTAAAATATTAATTACATGTACTCTCTGACTGGAAATAAGTTCTTTCAAAATGAATTACTAATTTAAAAATAAAATGGTGCATAATACTTTTAATGAATTCAAATTAATTTGATTGAGCGACAATTAATAAGCCTGGTGCACACCTAAACTGATCAAGATTAAAATATACAATTTTTATTATCAGTTACTATTTAAAATGAATTAAAAATATAAAAAGAATAATTTCAGATATGTACTAATTTTGCAAATAAAAAATAAAGTTAAGCTAAAATTTCACTAAAAAAAATTTGATATTTTTATTCATTTTCAACTGTTTATGAATCAAAATTGTTTAGCAATTCAATCGTTTTATCATTTTTTTTTTAATAAAACAAACTTTGGATGCTGAGCTAAAGTTTGCTTCAAGCTTTCTTACACTAAAGTTTGCATTTTTTTACATTTTCGCAATGATTTCAAATTCATTTTGCTCACAAAAATGTTATGATAAAATAAAATTACTTAAATTGAGCAAAGTGAGTTTTAAAAATGTAATAATTTATTGTTAATTAAATAAAGTTGAGGCTAATAAAAAGCCAAGACTAATACATGTACGTTACATTTATTATGCATACATTTTTTGAATCACAATTCAAGTATAGTTAAATAGATTTGAGAAAAATATTAAATTTTTACAAATACATTACTACAATACTTCAAAAAATATTCAATGATATGTGCAAGCACATTCCATTGAATATTAATTTTGAAAAGAATTTTGATTTGATAAATTTTACTAGTCATTCTTTTTATGAGACATTCAGAAGTGGTGTATTTTTTAAATAAAATATCCTTCAAATTTAATTAACTAAAAGCACTGTAAAGAGATGTGTTTTTATTTTTTATATTCAAAATCTTATTTTATTTCTTCAACACAAAATTTTTTGCAGAATTTTTTATTTGGTATCTATTCTTTAACTTCAAATTTGCATCTTCAATTGCTAATATAAATTTGTTATTAAAACACACATTACTTGAAGCACTTAATTTTTAGCTTCTAAATAAAATATATGCGAAATGAAGTACACAAAAGCAGTGATAAAAGTAAAGTCTATTAATATTTCAGTATTATTCACTGATATCCAATTAAAAAAGTTATGTAAATTAAAAGTAAAAATAAAAGTACTAAAATAATCTGATAAATTTTCCAAATCATCCAAATATGTGATTGCAGTACTTTTGCATCAATTGTTTTTAATATAAAACAAAAATATGGTGATAGCACTTAAAAGAATTAAAATTTTTTCATGGAGACGAAATAATAATCTGTTTTCAAAATCATAAGTATAAGCTTAAATGTCTAGCATGTAAAAATAAATCTAGCAAGCAATCATTCTCATGCGATAATTTATTTTTCGTTCTCTTTTTATCGTAATAATTTTTCAATAAATTTGAAAAAATATAATTAAAAATATTAGCAGTTATATAGCAGTCCAATTACACTTTTTTGAAAATAAAAATTTTAAGTTTTGACTTTAATAATATTAATAATTACTATTATTTAACAATTCCTCATGTAAAATATAAGCCAAAACTAAAAAACTTTAACATCAATGTTTATCAACAAATAAAAATAAAATTAAAGAAAAAAATAAAAATAAAAATAAAATTAAAGCAAAAATTATGAATGTGCGCAGTTCAGAATAAATTAAACAAACTAGCACTTCTAAAAATTTGTGATAACTACGCTTGAATTTAAAAATATATCTCCAATAAGAATATAGTTACATTGTATATAATTAAAGCATTAAAAACAAAAACAAATAAGTTGAGAAAAATAAAAAGAGTGAAATTTGATAAAAGTTGCAAAAAATAAATAAAACTGATGGTAGAAAAGATAATTAAACTTGATCTCATCTTATTTAATTGCTTTGTTTTTATAACATTTGGATATAAAGAGGGCAAAAACATCACAAATAATGCATATTTACATTATTCTACTTCATACAGACAATTTCAATTCCAATTCCAATTTCCTTTGATAATTAATTTTTGAACATAATACTTGAGAGATAACAAATTCTTTCTAATGAATGTTCAATGTAAAAATGACTGAATTATGAATAACTTATCAAGAATATTTTTAACAGAAATTGAAAACACATATTAAATATAATAATGCTTAAAGAATGCTTAAATTAAGTGTGAGAGAAAAGAATTTTACAACTATTAATAAAAAATTATCATTTTGTTTTGTTCAGATAAAATAAATCCAATGAATTTGCTCCTTTTTATGCTTAAAAATATATAAGTTGGAGATAAGTAGTTTCATTTTGTGAAAAAAACAAAAAATTTTTCTTATTTTTACCGTATAAAATATATTGCGTAAATGCAATTAATTTTTTCAAGTTCTTATCAACAATTCAAGCAAAGATTTTATAAAAAATAAGAATTTTTTGAAATCAATTCTTGGACATATTTTATTAATACTGAAATTAATTTTTTATAAAAATCAAAGCGATAAGTTTTAGGTTGAAAAAGCCATCAGACTGATTTGAAAGTATTTACACAACACAATTAACAATAAAGATTTGATTTTTTTTTCTTGCAGTTTTTACTCAAACAGTTCATTAAAAATTTGATTTTCCTTTCAAAAAACACTAAAAGTTTAATAAATTACATTAATCATTTTTATTATTGACTAATACATAAATGCATAAGCAAGTGAACATATATATATATATATATATATATATATATATATATATATATA